GGTCAGCTCCAGTGAGCTGCAGTTATCAGGGGTCAGCTCCAGTGAGCCGGCCTCGAACACTCATCTTCAGTAAGCCCATTAAACAAGTAATGTGAAAGCAGGGAAGGGATTTGTTTCATGTGATCATACTAGAAAGAAGGGCAACAAGGCACAGAAGATAATAAAAAAATATTAAATTACATTAAGACTAAGTGCTTTTATTTATCAAAATAAGCCATAGAGTGTTCCAGACTATTTAATCACACTGTGGATCCCAAGATTGCATTATTGACTACAAAAACTTGTTTCTAGTTGTGTGTGGCTCAGTCCTAGAACATACCTCTAATATAAGAGCTTTCTGCTTAAATATTGTAAACAGGATTAAATAAAACCAGCCATAGGTCAAGAGGCAGAGCAAGCAACCAGTTGACAGGAAAAATAAAACCATAGAGAGCAAGAGGGAGTCAGGAGGATGGATAGAGAGACACACAGGAAGTAGAAGGGAGGATCATTCAGTTTGAGGAGTTTTGAGTAGGAGAATGTTCTGGGACATTGGTGGAGGAGGAAGGTCAGTCAGCTGCTTTCTCTGCCTCTCTGAGCTAGCAGGTTTTCACCCCAGCATCTGGCTCTTGATTCTTTATTGGTAAAATGAAACAATTGAGATTTAGTTAAAAACGAGAGAGAACAACGAAGCTATAAACTTGAAGATTGTGTTTGTTGTCCTTGTGAAAAGTGGCACTTCCCGGAACATAAAGAACACTCACAATCCCATCAGAAAAACAAACAGCCTAGAAGGAGAGCAAGCTGGAGACACACCCTTCGCCAGAGTTCAAAGTCGGACCCAAACCAGGATCTATTATTGTGATGGTTAATTTTGTCATCAACTTGGTGGGATTTCAAATAGGAAACAAACCTCTGAGCACATCTGGAAGGGAGTTTCTATATTAAGTTGACTGAGTTGGGAGTACACACTCTAAATATGGGCAGCACCATTCTATGGACTGAGGTTTTGGGTTAAATAGAAAGGAGAAAGTGAACCTGGCATGGGTGTGTATGACTCTGCTTCCCGACTGCAGATCGGTGAGCATCAGTTTCAGGCTCCTGCTGCTGGGCTTCCCTGCCATGATGGACTGCACCACCAAACTGTGAGCCAGAATTAGCCCTTCCTGTCCCAGGAACAAGTAAAGTAACTAATACAATTACTTTTTTTTTAACTGTTAAAAGTTAATACACAAGTGCTGGAGAAAAGGCTCAGCAGTTTAGAGCACTGACTGCTCTTCCAGAGGACCTGGGTTCAATTCCCAGCACCCATGTGGCAGCTCATAACTGTCTGTAACTGTTTCAGGGGACCTGTCACCCATGACAAAACATCAATGCCCATAAGATAAAATAAAAAGGTGGTACATATTGAAGAGGATATCTTTTATACATTACCAATGAATGAATTCAAACAAATTTAGAAAATAGAAAATAATTTTCTATCCTCTTGCCAAGCTGGATATCTGCCTAGCCTTGCAACTCTACTCCTGGCTGTATGCACGTGCACCGTGAAGCATGCGCCACCATCTTAAATATTTTTTAGAATTATTTGTGTGTATGAGTGTTTTACCTGCATGTTTATCTGTGCATGACCCCTGTGCCTGGTGCCCACAGCAATGAGAAGAGGATGTCAGATCCCCTGGAACTGGAGTTCTGATGGTGGTGAGCCACAATCTGGATGCTGGGAACAGAATCTGGGCCTTCTGCAAGGGCAGCAAATCCCTTTAATGACCAAGTCATGTCTCCAGCCCCATGTGTGCACCATTTTTATAAGAAAAAGCTAGAATTACTCTAAGTATGAGATAGTCACAGTGAACTAAATCCTATAGGAGGAAGCCTCCCCTCCAGCCTTCTCCTTCCACCCTTGCCTCTGAAAACTCCAATCAGAACTTGGCAACTGTAACCAGGTGAGGTCACAGAGCTCCCAGAGGGGGAGAGAGTCCTCAGAGATGAGGGTTTTGTGAGCTCTTCAGGTTGAAGCTAGGCTTTGGTGCTCGAAAGGCGTGGAGGAGTCACAGTTCCTTGACCATGGTGAGACTTGCCTACAGGCTTGTTAGTCGCGTGGATTGAGGGTCCTGGACTCCACTAGGAGTCTAAGGGCTGTCAACTGCAGCCGTCAGCTGTAGCCCACTTACCCTGGGCACATGCAACAGGGTCAATGGGTACAAGAGACATTTATGGAGGTGATGTTTTACCACCAGGCTCTGTCTGTTCCTGTGTTCTGCCTGTGAAATTTGTACTGTGCTGATGTGAGCAGTTTCTTGTCAGGGTGGAGGCTTGGGTCATCCCTCCTTCAGAGTGTAGAGTGTAGAGTGACCTAAAACGTAGTCTGAGCAGCTGGGGAGGTATCTCTGTCCATGAAGGCTGTGCCTGTTGTACAAGTATGAGGACCCAAATTTGATCCCTAGAACCCAAGTCTTAATCTGGGTTTGATGGTATGTTCTTGTAATCCTAAAGTTGGGAAGGCAGAGGTGGGGGGATCCCTGGGACTCTCTGACCAGCCAGCCTAGCCTAATTGTCAAGCCCTGAACTCCAGTAAGAGACCCTGTCTCAAAAACAAACAAACAAACAAACAACCCAAAGTAAAACACACAGCCAAGGCCTACGGTTGTCCTACAGAATAACACTCAGATCTGATCTCTGCCCTCCATACACACTTTCACACACACACACACACACACACACACACACACACACACACACACACACGAACACCCCACAAAAAGATTTAAAAATTTAAAGTGTTTTTTGAAATTAAGAGTTACCATTGGGTTTTCCTAATGATGGGCATATGTACTAAGTTTCAGAGCTTGATTCCACAGAGCTTAACTTGCCCTGTTCTTGGGATGAACTCCGGGTTGCCCAGCCCCTAAAGCCCCTTGACAGATCCCTAGAGTCGACACCAGGCTCTCTCTGCTGCCTCCCAGTCTGGCCCATGGAACTCACTAAATTCTCCCAATAACACGGATGGAGAACTGGGTGCTCAGAGAAGAGGCTGGTGGGGACAAGAGATGTCTGGTGGGCACGGGGGTTCCTTTCTCCTTGTCTTCGCCGCTCCCCTGACCTGTGCTCTGCTGCCCCATCCCAGTGTGAGGAGGTGAAAAGCACTGGACAAAACTGTGTGCAGGGCCCTCAGCACAGCAAGGAGGCCCTGAACAGACTCAACCAAGCCATTCAGCAGTTGAAGAAGGAAGTGGGGAGTGCACAGAGCCAGGTGAGAGCGAGTTGTGGGAGGTGCCATCGCCACGACACTTTCTCTAGGTCCCTCATCCTCTGGAAGAGGTGAGAGTGTATGTGTGTATGCTGTGTGTGTGAGTGTGTGTGAGAATGTATGTGTGTGTGAGTGGATGGGAGAGTGTATGTGTGTGGTATGTGTGAGTGTATTGTGTGAGAGTGTATGTGTGTGTGTGCTTGTGTTAGTGTGTGATATGTGTGAATATGTGTGTGTGAGTGTATGTGTGTGCGTGCTTGTGTTAGTGTGTGATGTGTGTGAATATGTGTGTGTGTGAGTGTTAGTGTGTATGTGTGTGTGAGTGTGTGGGAGAGTGTATGTGTGTGGTATGTGAGAGTGTGTGTGAGTGTATGTGTGGTATGTGAGAGTGTGTGTGGGAGAGTGTATGTGTGTGTGTTTGTGTGAATATGTATATGTGTATGAGAGTGTATGTGTGTGTATGTTTGAGTGTGTGTGTGCCTGTGTGCAATGTGTGTGTCTTAGCACATAGGATGGTGGCTGCATGTGCCACTCATGCTTCCCTTTGCCTGGGCTGTTTTATATAGAAAGATAATTAACCAAGAAATTACATATCAACGCATATCGCTTGGCCTTCCCTTTGTTTGGTTTTTGTTTTACCTTGTAATAATTCTGAGCTATGTTCAGAAATGACAAGATTCACCAGAAACTCAGTTGTCCAGTTTATTCTTAAACATGTGACAGTCAAGGTGGGTGTTGTAGCACACATTTGTGACTCCTGTGCTCAGAGGACCTCAAGCTCCAGGCCTCCTAGGGCTGTAGGGTGAGTTCACGAGGATCTGAGCTACAAGGCTTATTAGCTTGGGTTCTGGTTCATCAGCAGAAAGTTTGCCTAGCCTGTCAAAGGCCTTGGTTCTCAAGTCCCTCGCTGAAAAATCAATGATAAAATGGAGCCCTAATCCTTGTGCTTGGGAGGCTGAAACAGAAGAATTTCCAGATGAGGGTAGTCTGGGCTGCACAATGAAGTCCAGGCAAGTCTAGACTAAACAGAGTGAGACACTGTCCTAAGGCAAACAAGCAAACCCACAAAAACGACACAACACAGAGAAGCAAAAGCCCCCCTCCCCGTCCAAAACCAAAGGAAACACGCAGAACTGGCAGTAGCAACCTGGTGGGAAGATCTGACTCCTCACAGGGCCCAGCAGCTTCCTGTGTGCCGCCCCCAGCTCTGCCACTCCTGACCCCGCGCCTGTCCTGCAGCAGAGGAAGGACTCTGACTCCACACTTCTTGAAGAAGGAATGTGTCACTGGAGAAAAGACCGAAAGCATGTGAAAGTCCTGCCTTAGCAGGAGTGGGAGAGACCAAGTCTGTCGGAGAACAGGATTCTGTGTGTTGGCCTTCCTCTTCGTCAGGCAGACCCTGGAGGTGTTTGAGGCCCCGGTGTTCCGGGAGAGGATGCTCACGGACACCTTTCTTCTCCCAGCCTCTTGCCCTCCAGCCTCCTCTTTCTACCCATGAAGTCCTCTCTATTGATCTACCTGGCTCATCCTGTGCCCCTGTCCAGGGCTTTCTGTTCAGGGTCTGGTTTTACTTTTGGCAGATCCAAGTGTCTTAGGCTTGAGGTGTATTCTTGGTGTAGGGTCCTTTGTCCAGAAACTGGTGGCTTTGAGGCAAATGACCTGGTTGTGGTTCTAGTGGTGACAGAAAGGGTGGGAAGGCCCACAGTGGTTGAGTCTCCCACTAGCCAAGCTGCCCCGATTACCCAGGCAGCAGGCACCCTCACCAAGCATGTGTTATAAATACTGTTTCTAGAGATGTGCACTCTGGCTCCTATGGGAAAGGAGATTTTCTGTTCTGATTTGGGTGGTATTGGGGGAAGAGCCCAGAGTTATTCCCATAGTGGTGAGCACTTTGCTACTGAGCTGCTCCCAGATATCTATCCCTTTCAGTGTGAAGTCTCCCTGAGTTTCCCTGAGCTGGTCTTGCACTCTCTGGGGTCTAGGAAGGCCTTGAACTCTTGATCCTCCTGCCTCAGCCTCTTGAATAGCTGGGATTACAAAGCCTCCAGATTCTGCTCATTCCTTAGGAAACACTAAACCAGTTTTTCTGTTTATTTATTTTGGTTTTTTTGACACAGGGTTTCTCTGTGTAGCTTTGGTGCCTGTCCTAGAACTCGCTCTGTAGACCAGGCTGGCCTTGAGTTCACAGAGATCTGCCTGCCTTTGCTTCCTGAGCGCTGGAATTAAAAGTGTGCACCACCACCACCACCCGGCTCAGTTTCTTTGATAAAGAATATTTGACATATCTTTAATCTTAACTCACGTGAGTAGCACCATCATTGAGACACAGAATCCTTAGCCATCCCAATTGGTGACCCCCAGTGTCATCTTGAGTGCAGGGAGTGGACAGGTGTTTTTCTTTTCTTTCTTTCTTTCTTTCTTTCTTTCTTTCTTTCTTTCTTTCTTTCTTTCTTTCTTCCTTCCTTCCTTCCTTCCTTCCTTCCTTCCTTCCTTCCTTCCTTCTTTCTTTCTTTCTTTCTTTCTTTCTTTCTTTCTTTCTTTTTATCTCATGGTGTAGACATACTGAGACAAACACACGAATTTCAGAGCAAGCCTCACTTCTTCCCGACCACAGATCCTCTTCACACCCACATTGACCTCAGGGTTTTGAGTAACGGCTGGCCTTCTGAGGCCGGAGGAGGAAATGAGGCTGAGAGTATCTTTCTTTCTCTAGTCTTTGCTCCATGCCCAGCCCTGTGAACTAGAGAAAGCCAAAGACGTGGAGGCTGGGCAGCATGTGGTCTCAAGCAGCGCCAATGGCAAACTGGCCTGGCTGGAGGCCGCCCTGCAGCGGGCCAAGCAGGACATGGCACGGCAGCTCCGTGAGTACCAGGAGCTCATGATCGTCAAGCTGGGCCTGGACTTTGAGATCGCCACCTACCGTAGGCTGCTGGAGGGCCAGCAGCAGAGGTGAGGGATCAGGAGGTGAGGGGATGGGTGTCATTCTTTCCACACCTGAATAGCTTCCTGAATGAAAAGGCCCTAGTACTGGTGCAGGCGGAGTCAGTGTTAGACACGAGATAGTGTAGGTACCAAGACCAGACCCAAGGAGCTTGCAGGGTAAAGGCTTATCTGGTCTGGGGGTGTGGGAGTCAGAGGTGTCTGTCTTGGGAACCTGGCAGGCAGACTGAGTTAGCTGTGGCTTCTTTTTGTCACACAGGCTTGATCTGGGACTTGGGGCAGAGAGCTCAGGTAAGGGACTTGGGTAAGATGTAAGCTCTTCTGGCCACCCCCCACCCCAATTCCCTCGGTCCCCTGAGAAGGCAGCAGGGATTTATCTGTCTGTCTGTGCAGATCGCAGTTGTGGAGGGAGGTGTTTCTTCTCAGGGGGTGATTCCCTGTGTGTTTGGGAGTCTAGAAGTCTGTGGGCCTCCCTGGCAGGGGTTGGGCAGGAGGGCTTTCCTGAGTCCTTTGGTCTCACCTCTCACGTGACTCTCCATGAAGCTCCAGGCAGCGATGTTACCCGAGGTCCGGGCCTGACCTCAGTCTCTGCACCACCTCGGGCACCCGGAGTCTGTTCCCGTGGCCTGGATGTGAGCGCCCCCGACGGTGTTTGCACTCTCTGCAGCTCGGTGGGCTGTGTTGGGGGCTTTGGCTGCCAGGGCTCCTGTGGCTCCCATGAATGTTGAACCCGTCCCTCTCACTTCCCTCCGGAGAAGACTAGGAGGAACTCGTGCTTCTGCCTGAAGACTTGGCCCTCCCGTCTCAGATTCCCCGCCCACAAAGCGGGCCCTCGCGTTCACTCTCTTTTGTGCCTCACCTGGAACTAGACAGGACGCTGGACTGGAGTCATTCTGTACTCAACACCTGTGTCTTACCTGAACTTTGGACCCTGCCCCTCTGACTTGCCCCATCCCCTTTCTCCTAGGCTCCCCCCCTTTAATAAAACTTTCTGCGGTGGCTAAGCAGCTAGCCTCTCTGAACCTGACTTTCTGGCTACCTCACAGCCGAGTTCTAGCTCGGCTCCAACCAATACTGTAAAAGGATATGGCTTGTTCAGGAGGCAGAGGCAAGCGGATCTCTGTGAGTTTGAGCCCAGTCTGGTCTACAAGAGCAAGTTTCAGGACAGACTCCAAAGTTACAGAGAAACCCTGTCTCGGGGGAAAAAAAAACACCGCTGTGTGGGGACAAAGTGACTGACATTTTGGATGACTTTACTGTATGACTTGGGACTTTATGAAGGGGCAGATGAAAGGAGGGTGGAGAAGGTGAGGCAGGGCAAATCCCACAGACTGTGCTGGGGTCCACAGTCAACTGTCCCGGCACCCACTCCTTCACTCTGTCAACCTCGTGTTGGAGTTGAGAGTGTTAATGCCAGACTTGTACATGCTAGGGGCATGCTCCACTGCTGCGCTACATTCCAGCACCCCTCCCCGCTTTTTGGAGACAGGGTCTCCCTACGCAACTCAGACTGGTATGGAACTTCCTGTGGCCCAGGCCTGACCTCAAAATTCTCCTGCCTCAACGTCCCTAGTGCTGGGGTTACAAGTATGCACCACAACACCCAGCTCCCCCTGGAATGGTGGTACAAGGTCCTTATGGGGGACTTGCGGAGAGTAAGACACTCTTACCTTGCTCTCCGGATGCAGGACACTGGCACACAGATAGGAATAAAGAAGGATGGCATGGGAAAGAAAGGCCACCTCTGCTGCCTGGTACCCACTAAAGGCCAGGCTCAGGTTGAGGCTGGGCCAAGATAGTCAAAACCGGGTGGCCCAGACCTGGGTTCTAACCTATAGGATGTGATGGTAGTGGGCCAGGAGCACATAGAGGCACGGGGAAGCATCCTCGCCTCTGCTTCCAGTCCTGAGGGATACGCTGGTCTGTGTTTTCACAAGGGGCAGAGATAGGACGATTCTCTGGAGGTGAGGTGCTGGAGCAAGGCTGGCTTTACAGGCCTGGAGAGCAGTGTGTGCTCAGAGTGTTCACATTCTTTAACCTTGCGAAAAGGATTACATCATCAGTGTGCCTTGGGAACAATAGTCCCTGCTCTCCGTCTCTGGGTGGGGCGCAGGTGCGTCATTAGCCAGAGGCCTAGCATCGCCTTTTAAGGCGCATAAGTGCCGGAGTGTCTGCTGCTTCTTTGCTTCAGCACCTGAGGAGCAGGTATCCAAAAGGCTCCTTTCCTGGGTAAACACAGCAGTCTCATGGAAAAGGAATGGATGGAAACTTGGCTTGCTGGTGACCACGCATATCCTCATCGGCCCCAATGGGTCATCTCTGGCCCTCTCTAATCAGATCTCACTGTTACAAATTCTCCCAAAGCAAGAAAACCTGGGGTGCAGCCCCCTCTGTGAACGTCCAGAGTCCAGTGCCTTGTCCCTTGTATTTTGCTGGGAAGTAATGAGTTTGATTTTCAAAGCAGGTTTTTGTTTTGGTTTTGTATTTTTTCTGTTCCACTTTGAGTGTATGTGTTAATGAGGGGGCTTTGAGGAAGTGCAGACAGAATATCTCAGGGACCTGCAGGCAGGACTTTGGCTCCCCAGAGACTGGATGCTCACATTCTTCCTTTCCAACCCCTAAGATTTGACTTCCTTGAGATCGTAAGAGCCTGAGGTCAGGTCTAGGCTAGGGCTAGGGCCATTTGAATCACCAGACTATCTGTGGTTTGGGAGCTGTTCTCTGAGAGGTTCCCCAAGCCGTGGACCACATTCCAGCGAGGGATGGAAGAGACCCGCCTGGTAGCTTTACGAGGAGTCATTTGTTCTTAGGTGACTTCTGAAGGAAGCAGGGCTGTCCCCATTCAGTCATTCCTTCTCCTTACAAGCATGAGGCAGGAGAGGAGGACAAGAGAAGTTAAGGGTCATGAGAAGAAGGAAAGCCCCTTACCTAGGATGCAGTGTGTATGTTTAACTGGCTGAATAAATGTAACACACTGCCCGAGTCAGGGAAGAGGGCCTAAAGAGAAAAGAACCCTTTTTCTGAGAGGCAGAGCAATAAATGGGCGGTATCTGTTAAAGACCGAGTGTGCAGCTTTGAGTCTGATTTATGGGCATTCAGCTCCTATTCTACACCTGAACAACGCATCTCACAAGTCTCCTACATTTTTTTTAAGATTTATTTTTTAGTTTTATAGGTACGTGTGTATGCCTGTGTGAATGTTTGCAGCATACATGCAGTTTCTGAAGAGGTCAGAAGAGGGTACTGGATCCCCTAGAACTGGAGTTGCAGGCTGTTGTGAGCCCCTGACATGAGTGCTGTGAGTTGAACTCAGGTCCTGTGGAAGAACAAAAGGTTCTTAATCGCTGGGCCATCTCTTCAGCTCCCAGAAGAGGAAATTCTTTAAGATAAGAGAAGTAAACCAGCGTATATGTTTTTTCCTTTTTCTTTCCTTCTTTCTTTCTTCCTTTTTCTTTTCTTTTCTTTCTTTCTTTTTTTTCTTTTTTTCTTTTTTTTTTTTTTTGGTTTTTCAAGACAGGGTTTCTCTGTGTAGCCCTGGCTGTCCTGGAACTCACTCTGTAGACCAGGCTGGCCTGGAACTCACAGAGATCTGCCTGTTTTGCCTCCTGAATGCTGGGATTAAAGGTGTGCACCACCATGCCTGGCACGTTTTTTCTTAAAACTTAAGCTTTACTTATTTTTACACTTTAATTTTTTTGAGCCTGGTTGTAAGTTGCATCCTTTGAATAATGAGTTTAAAAGCCACAACACACACACACACACACACACACACACACACACATACACACACACATACACATACAGACACACACAGACATGCACACACAGACACAGATACACACACACACAGACACACACACAGACACACACACAGACATACACACACAGACACACACACACATACACACATAGACACACACACACACACACACACACACACACACACACACACAGTGCTTAGGTCTCTCTCGCTGCTCTCCTTTCTCCTCCTCATAAACTATACTCAGCTCACACTGACTTGTCAAGATTTCAAACTCCTAAGGGAAGATGCCTTGGGAACTCCCCCCACCCCGCAGAGAGGTCATTCATAAAGAGGGCCTTCTGTTGGCTCTGTGCCCCCATTGCTTTTCTGCCCCACACTTCACAGCCCCCTGAGGACAGTGATTGTCTCATTCGCTTGTCTTTAGGGCTCAACCATATAAGCGATCCAGGAATATTTTGCATTTTCAGCACCTAACCCATCTTACATAATTCCTTGAAGTCATTTAAAAATATTTATCGCAGTGCTGGAGATAGAGCCAAGGGCTTGTGTGTGCCAAGTGTGCACTCTGCTCCTATCTGCATGCCTAGTCCTTCATGGGCGTTTAGAACACATTTAGGTGCAAAGCCTAAGGCCACCGACTTTGCTCGGCTACAGTTAGATCAACAGCCGGCGGGAACAGGCAGCTAAGCCCAGGGGTCGGAACATCAAAGGCAGTGTTTCCAGAGGAGCACTTTCCGGAATGCTGCCCAGTGGCATGAGGCCATCACCTCTCCTATGTGACTCCCAGTGTCCTCCTGGGACCCCTGCCTAACCAGCACATGTGGCAGTCAGGGTTCTCTAGAAGAACAGAACCCACAGAATGCATGCATATTACATAGGGAATGATTGGCTTAAACAATATGGGCTGGGAAGTCCAAAAATGTCTGGCTGTACACTAGAGAAGCTGAGGACCACATCACTGCTGAACCCATGAGGCTGCTTGTCTCTCTCTCAGCTGGCTCAGTCTGGCACCAAAGTCTCAGAATCACTGGTCTTGGCCCACGGTGCAAGGCTGAAGAAATGAAGGATGCCTGCAGGACCACAGACTAGATGCACTCACCAACAAGGAGCGAAACCAGGCAGGTAAAATCAGCATTACCTTTTGTTCAGACCTCTTTATAGCTGGGCCATAAAGTGCTGCCCATTTTGGGTTAGGGGTTCCCCCTCAGCTAATCTTTCCAGGAACCATCCTCACAGATCTGCTCAGGAACAGGTTTCTTAGTTGATCCCAGAACAGTCTAGATTAACCACCACACGTAGGGTCTGTCCACATCCCTGGATTGCACTCCTGTGTGCTCACAGATCCCTGAGGCATGGAGGGTGTGAAAGCTGTGTAGCTGGAATGGGAAGGAGGGAGGAGAGGATCAGGGCTCAGCAAGATGAAAGACTGACAGAGGAGCAACCCAGTAGTCAGTCATAGCCCAGCTTGGCTGGCGAGAGCAGCAAAGTTGACAGGGAGGGGCAGAGAAGTGGCCTATCAAGACTGCAGCTTGATATGAGCTTCCGCATGGAACAGGGGCTGTGGCAGGGGCTGTGGCAGGGGCTGTGGCAGGGGCTGTGGCAGGGGCTGGGGCTGTGGTAGGGGCTGGGGCTGGGGGGGGGGCTGGGGCTGGGGCAGGGGCTGTGACTGGGCTGTGGCTGGGTTGGGTCTGCTGAGGCTTCAGGGCTGGGATCTGTATAATAAGCTCTGCTTCTTAGCTGTGTGATATCCTGGGGAGGGGGCTGTCAAGAAGACTCACACACTCTGGAACTCTCTGGGGACTCTGTCTATCAGAGGTGGCTGGCATTGGCTTGACCCTAACTCTGACAAAGCCTTTGTTCAGGCTGTCTCCTGCTCTCTCAATAGTCTTCAATGTGAGGGCTTCCATTTCTGCTTCGTCTTCTGAGCCTGGGAGTGGAAGTTTAGACGTGCATTCTGCTCTAAAGATGCATGTTCAGAGACAAGCCTGAAGGCCACAGGACAGCCCCTAGTTGCAGAATATGGACTTTTCTCAGTGCTTGTGACTTCTGTTCATGAATATGCATGTAATAAGAGACTGGTGGTGGCCCTGCTCCCTGGAGACATTTTTACTTTATATTCTACAAAAGAGCAATAACTAATAAACGCAGGTAGTGGCTGCTCTCTGCCTGGCTATCGTACATCTCTGAAAGTGCTTTCCTCTCCCATGGACCCCGAGTTGGGGGCCCCCTCTTGTCACCCCTGTCTTAAAGTCATGCACAGAGAACGCAAGCACGCAGCCTACATTTTCTCAGCTGGGCAAAGACAGAGCATCCTGGACTGTTTGCTGTGCTCGAGGCAGGCAACAGCTCTGGCAGGGCGCCAAGCCCCAAGGGGCGCCATCAGGAAAGGGTGGTCAAATCAAAGGTTTGTTTTTTTTTATGTTTTACATCTCATTTGTGTGTTCATGCCTTTAGGATTCTAGTAAATTCCTCAGGTCTGAGTCTTCCCCACATGACAGTGAGCAATGTTTCCTCAAGCTTCAGGCACTGGGGAGTATGATGCTTCTTGTCTATGGTTTACAAACGTGTTCTGTTTTGGGGGAGGTAGTGGCAGTTATACAGGATGCACACAAGCCACAAACACGGGACTCACTGCATCTGGACCCCTCAACTAAGGAACAGTCCCTGCCCCAGCCGTTGCTCATCTCTGACGACTGTTTTCCTCTGTCCTGGGAGATGTACCTTTAAGGTGGTGTGGGGAAAACTACACCATGCGTGGGCCTAGCATGGGCCTCAGTCAAGTCTAAAACTGGCGGGAGCCCAGGGACAAAGACTTTCCTGGAAGCCCTGCTTTCAGTGATGTTGGAGACTTGAACCTTGACCCTTGGAAAGCTAACAGAGACAGACAACGCTCAGGGTTGGCTACATTAATTTATTGGAAACAGATCAAGACAGATTAGAGAAGAAGGGGTGGAGCTGTGGATCTACCAACTGGCTCCCAGGCCAAGCAGCGGAGGTGCTGTCCTAGCCCCCGACCCTCCAGACCCCGACACTGTGGCTCCAAAGACACTTCTAGAAGTCCATCCCAGTATTCACTTCTGAGAGCAGGGGGTCGTTCAGGGAGACCAGAGGGGGCTGAGAGTGAGAGGGTGGCTTCAGTGTGACCAAGTCGCTGAGTGCCTTGTGCCAGGTCCCAATATTGGGCAGCCAGAGATAGCTCAGCGGGAGAAAAGCCTTGCCCTGAGCCAGGGAAGAACGGAGCTCCTAACATTTACGACCACAGGACACTGCAGAACCACAGGGTGCGCACAGGCCGGTGCTCACTGCCAAGTTCCCGCTGCAGGGGGTGCTGCAGACACTGCCGGTCACTGGCCGCGAACCAGACACACACAGGTCCCCACTCACGACCCCTCCGCGGGAGCTGCTGACACCTGCAGATCAGGAAGGAAGAATGGGTCTGAGTGAGGATGGTGGGGGTTAGCCCGGAAGGCGTTCCAATTTCCTAAGGACCCCATTCCCTGGCCCTGACAGACCCATTTCTAGTGAAGAACTCCGGTTCCATCTAGATCCAAAGACGTGGTGGTTTCATATGACCCCAAATCCCTCCTGCTGCTGTGAATTTAACTCTCACCTAAATCCCTCCCACCACACTTCTCCTCCTGTCACAGGGAGTGAATCTGTCCACACCAAACCCCCAGTACTTACAGACATTCACAGCTCCTACACCTTCACACAGTCTGAGGGAAGAAAAGAAAAAAAAAAAAAAAAACTTATGAAGCCCAACATAGTAGCAAACACAGCCACCCAAAATCGTGCTCCACATATCAGAATTTGCCCGCAAAAGTCATTCAAAACATGGCCCACTATGAACACAGCCTCAAAGGGACCAATGAAAGATTTCATGCCCAGAGTTCGGCTATGGGTAAGCCAAGGGAAAGATGGAGTTTGGTTCCTCTGGGAGGGACTCACCTCTGTTCCTCGCCCTCCAGCAGGCGCCTGTAGGTGGCGATCTCGATGTCCAG